ATATTTGTTCTCAATGCAGATTGCAGATCATTTTACAGATTTCCATGTGGACTAAATCTTTCTAAAATCTAAAGAAATTCATTATGTTGTAATTTATTGAATACCTTTGTGTAATCTCTGAAACACATGTACAGGTCTTCCTATATTCCTAATGCTGTCTTATACAAAACCACCATGTTCTTCCTCTATTTCAAGTCTGATTCTATTCCAAGCTCTATTTATTAGAATCCTAATTATTTTTGTTATATAGCTTATCAGGTTGATTGCTCAATGAAGCTCGCACTCATTTGCATATGATTTGTTTGACGTCTATAAAAATTTACTACTTTAATCTTCCAGTATTTCACCACTATTATATATTTAATTTATCCCTTCAGTAATCTTATCAATCCTAAGTTCATCTAAGACTATCAATATTTTATGACAATTTCCTCTGTCACCACTGCTTTATTCCTCTTCTTCTTAGTCATTGCTGTTCTTACTACAGATTTAAGAGTCATGTGTCCATTTTTATTTTATGTATTGAATATTTCTCCCTTCCATTGTTATTGAAAAAAACTGCCTGTGTAATGCAGTACCTTTTCTTTTTTCATAATGATCATTCCTTCTTTAGATTTTATATGTCTATGACAATTAGAAATAAATTTTTCATATTCAACTTGAATATGTTGTTATCTCTCAGAGATTTCTATCAAAACATTGTCTAATAAATCATTTTTACAAATATAAGTAGTAAAAATAATATTTGGTAAGTATTTATTATCATTTTAATTCTATTTATTTGTATATTTTCTTTTTCTTTTGCTATAAATAAACAGCATGTAATATTCCAGCTTTATAGTTCTATCATATCATTTACTAATAAGAAAGTATGGTTTTGTTAAAAAAATATTGATTAATGTTTAGTCATTGTTTTTATTTTCATCTTCACTGTTTTATATTACAATGTTTTGTCTTGTCCATTCTCTAACTTTCACCATGTGTTTTTCTTGATAAGTTCTACTTATAATCTAGTCTATGTGCTATGACATGTTGTCCTGGTGTTTTTTTGATATCTCATTGAGACCTCCATTCTACTATGCTGAAATTTACCAAACCTTCATTACTACTACTACTACCACACACATAAAAGGACAACATTTTGGAGCAATGAAACCATTTCTATACTGGTGCCATTATATATATATATATATATATATATATATATATATAATCATAGCTATATCTAGGTTGGACCGGCTCAGGCCTGGACCAGCTATGACAAAGCCAAGACCAGCTATGACTAGCTTAGACCAGCTCTGACCAGCTTGGACAAGCTATGACCAGCTAAGACCAGGTTAGACCAGTGGCCCGAGTGTTTCCACTCAGGTTCCCTGCGTTAAAACCAACATTGTGTCACATCCTGACTCAGTGGGGCGTCAAGTAAATATTTTATATATATATATATATATATATATATATATGTACTGGTTCCATACCAAGTTGGTAATAACTTATTTTCCAATTTCTCAATCTTCCAGCATGGTTTTAGATTTTCCCTCCCTTTTTTCATTTACATTCAAGTTGTCTGAAGATCACATTGTCACACACATACATGAGATCAATGGACACGGACCAATTGGGAGCAATACAAACCAACAAATCTCCAACATAGTCCCAGTCGGGCAGATCCGCCCAGCCTCATCTGAAGGTCACTGAGAGGTAGCATGTTCCTAATCATTTGTCAGGTAAGCAAAAACTCAGGGTTACTGAGATAGTGCACCACTAGCACCCAAGCTCAAAAAGAGCACAACTCTGATGCCAACAAGGCACAAAGAGGATCCTTCACGCCCCCCCACTTCCACTAATTCACAATACAACCATCTTCTCAGGTCAATGATTAAAAATGGATTCAAGCAAGTGAACCCTGTTGAATTTGAAGAGGACTGTCCTTCATCAGATCTCAGAGTCTAGCACTAAAGAATCACAAAGAACTTTACCAAATAACAAAAAGCATATCAACAGCATCAACAACTAAAATGTATAGCACATATAACTCAAAGAAAAAATAATGACATAATGAAGATGTTGACTTTCCATACCACTTCAAACAAAAGGTTACGAAGAAAGTCTACATCAATACTAGAAAGAGTGATAATAACAAACTTGCGAAACATTTTCCTGAAAAACAATTTTAAGAGAAAGATTTTATACATTTCAACTGAGATTAACACTGTTTGGTCAGTGAATGCCAAATGTTTCCTTATAAGGAAAAAGATATTCTCACTATTACCATTACCAATGTCATTATTAGAGACTTAGTCCTAATTTAATATCACAACTTTTATTTGTATATTGATAATTCATTTACTAGAAGACAGAAGTTATAAATTTTTGAAGGTATTGTTGCTGCATTTAGCCTTGTTTGACTGAGATTTAGTAGATTAAAATATTGTAATTTCCACAATTGTCTTACTTTAATTAAGCTTGATAGGTTAAATATAAGATCTATTAGCGTTATTTAGAATATCGATGTAATGAGGAAAGTACTTGGTGGATCTAACATTCACAAGACATACTGAAGGCAAGGGGAACAGATGAAAGCAATGAGTAACCTGTCTAATAAGCTTGTGTAAATGAATGGCAGAACAAGGATTCAGAGAGATAATAAAAAAGGTAAAATTTACTCAGCGCTATAAAGAATAGGAAGTTGTGGAGAGCCATGATCGTCCACGTCCTGAAGGGGATGGTATATAGAAGTGGTGTATCTGTTTCCTCTTCACTAAATCAAATAGCTGATGTTTTTGGTTTTTGTAAAAGAGAATACTTCATAAGATTTTTTACACATTATAAATATTATTTGTAATTAACCATGACTTTTTAATTAAAACATGTCTGGACAACAAAATAACAGGTAACAAAACATATTTACTAGTAAGATTTAGAACTGCTATAGAAGTTAATACCAGTAAGATTTAGTGATAGTACATTTCTTGGTTCCTCTAGTTCAAACCTTCACATCTAGGATCTGCTAGGCTGCATACACTGAGTTAACTCATCCTTATTCCCTTTATATTCCATCGGTGAGTAAGAAGTTCCACTCAGACAGCTTCTTTTCCAGAACTGTTGTATTGTGGAACAGACTGTTGAAAGGATGCTTCCCCAATCACTACAATCTTAACTTCTTCAAGTCTAGGGTCAAGTATCATCTATCCAGCATTTCCTCATAATATGTATGTCTTGCTTCCTTTTTGTACGCCCTTAAAACGACTTCATATTATAACCTTCTAACTTGAGTGATTCTTTTGCCTTGTATTGGGTGAACAATAGTAAAAGAAATATTTTCAATTCTGCTGTAGAAAGTTTAGGCCCCAATACAGATGATTTTTTGGAGAGAAGATACATATTAGCAGTTGCCAGCAGTAGCATTCATACTTACCTATATGGCCTCATAGGTATAAATATGAATAACTATCTGCTACACAGGATTGACGTAGCTATTAGTAATATACAGGATGACTACAAAAGAAGTAGGCAATTTTTTTCATTAATGTCAAGTGGAAACAACATATGCCCAATGAAGAACTATAAGGAAACCTAATAAATATTATAGACACAAATGTGGTTTAGTGTTCATTGCTAGATAAGTAAAAATGTTGTGCATCAACTTATAATATGGAATCCAAATTATGCAAAAAGTTCAAGAGGTAGACCAGCAAGAACTTTCATTAATAAACACATCGATGACATCATAATCAGAAAAAAAGAACTGGGTAGATCTATAGGTAGCAGAAATGGTTGGAAAGAAGTAGTCAGAAATATTCATTTGAAAACAACCAGATAGATACATAGATTGCTAATATATTATTTTATGTTTTATCCTAGTGCACATATCATAACAGTGAAGCAGATGGACATTAACAAAATCACTGGCCAAAAATAAACAGATGGTCCTTGACTATTGAGGGCAACACCTAATTTCAGCAAGAAACAACATATGTTCAAGGCAGAATGATACATGACTCTACAAAAAATTATGGACACAATCCAGTGTAGTATAGGATTGAATTTTTTGTTTTTTACAGTTTATCAACCTTTTGCAGGCTATTTAAAGCCAGAAAATATTTTTAAATTGTAAGAATTTATTTTGTAGATAATAACGATTTACTGATACTCATTAACCCATAGCTGGGGGAAGAATAGGTGAATTCATACCTTTCCCAAGAGTGTTTGCACATAAGTGAATATGTAACAAACCTGACTGGAATTGGAACTTGGTTCTCTGGTTTTCAGTTCCAAGCCATTATCCATTATACCATCCAAACATCTGAGTTTAGATCACTTTGTATTCTCAAGTGGTCACCTATCTTAGTACTAACCAGCCTTGACATTGCTTAACTTCAGTGATTGTACAAGAACCGGTTATTCAATGGGTTATTGCCATAAGCCTTGTGTTATAGGAGAAGTAATCTAGAAGTTACATATCAGCATATTCTATAGGATTCAAATTATGGGAAAAGATAAAAAACAGACCAGCAAAAACCTTTATCGACAACACTGGAATCAGAAAGGAAAAACCTGATAACATAAATGATTCAAAAGTGGTCAGAAATTTTCATTTGAGGACAATCAGATAGATTTATGATATTGGTAAGTGCAACAACTTAACCCATAGCTGTTTCTAGTGTCACCAGGCAGGCCCTTGACTGTAATCAGCAAGGCAAGCAAAAAGTGGGTCGACCAAAATAGACTTGACACAGAGGTGAAGGCAGCCAGCACAACATGGTCTGAGCTGAAAAGAATTACCTAGAACCATGTCCATTAGAGAGTGTTGTTGCAGCTCTATATTCCCCAGGGAATCAAGAGGCATAATATATATAATATATATGAGTGGCGAATAGGTGGATTTATATATTTCCCATGGTTATCTGCACACAAGTGAATATAATGAAATAAAATTGAATTAGAACTCAGCTCTCCAATTCCAAGCCGTTATCCACTACACTACTCACACATTCAAGCTTACAGCACTTGGTATTCCCAAGCAGTCACCTATTTTGGTTCTGACCAGGCTCAATGTTGCTTAACTTTGGTGATCATGTGAGAACCAGTGTTTCAACATGATATAGCCATAAGCATTATGGTATAGAAATTATGGGAAAAAATAGACCAACAAGAACTTTCATCGACAATACTGGAATCAGAAAGGAAGAACTGGGTAGATCTACAGATGAGAGAAATGGTTGGAAAGAAATAGTCAGAAGTGTTCATTTGAGTCAGATAGATTTTAAGATATTGACATTCACAATGCACAGATTTATAGAAAAACCCTTCAAGTCAATTACAGAATCTTACAGATACTTGATCTGTTAGTCACAGTCAACTTGTTCTTCAGATAATGATGATCATTCAAGTCTTTTATATATACACAAACATCTTGTTTTAAATTTCTTGTACCAGTCATAGATGGCAGTGATATCTGAAAACATGTTCTGAAATATTTTTCAAAACTAATAAAAACTTGTTTTGCTTAATTTGGTCACCCCAAAAACCTTCTCAACATTATCCGCATACATCATGCCTTAACCTGGTACTGCCAAATACACAATATTTATATTATTATGGTGGACTAAGCTTCAAGAGCTTCTCTATAAACCTGTGCTTCATGAGAATCAATATCTTAAATAATTTTGATCTAATAAATCTTTAAAACAGTCTATTTCTTTTGTAATCTCCTTGAATTTTATCAGATATTTAATTTTGTTGAGTTACAAAGCTTTGCTTAGATATGAACAAGGTTTTAAGCTGTCTACAGTAATTGGTATTTCTAAAAAAAGTCATCCAACTAAGTACCAAATATGTCTAACACTGCTTAATTTTAGTGACTAGAGAACTTACACATTCCGTATGACTTAACTATAAGTCTCTAAATTTAGCTTAGTCTGACACAGAGCAATTGTAGTTGGGCATCTATAAGAATTGAACTCATTAACTTAGTGAACTGATTTGTGAGACAAGCTATCTTGCTCTGAAAGACATCCAATCTATAGTGAGTTTCTAATAAGTCCACTTTATATTGATTTATAAGTCTATTATTCATCCATGAATTGCTGCCACATCTTGTCTGGTTATTCTGCTATGTATTTAAAGATTCTTGATAAAATACAAAGAAAAATCTGCAATATTATTGGTCCTGACTTGGCATCTCAGTTTCAGTCATTTTTCCCCACCACCATAACATAGCTTCCCTGTGCCTTTTCTATAAATATTTTCATGGTAATTGTTCTGATGAGTTTTTTCTCTTTGGTACCTAGACTTTATGACTTTAAGTGCAGTACTAGATTGGCAGAAAGGTCTCATCATTTTACAGTTAAAATGACTAGATGTAACCACAAGTTCTAAGCTACCAGTTTCTTCTCTCACACTTCTCACTTGTAGAGCTCTCTTCCTGCTTCTTGTCAATTTTGATTTTCAATGTCAATTTTTAGCTTCTGTTTTCTTAATTTCTGTTCTTTCATTGTTCTCTCTCTTTAATAATGTTTTCTTTTTCTAATATTCTCTCATACTCAGTAACCCATCTTAGGGACTTTATTGCCTTGCTTGGAATGAAATGATTAAAAAAAGAGAGATATCTACTTAGACTGAATATAAGAGAAGTGAGAAAATGCATATAAGCAGTATTCTGCAAAGAAAAATATCTTTTACTAATGCATTATTTTGTGTACAAAGCTTTTGAAAGTGTCATTTACTCTCCTTCCCTGAAGTGTCTGCTTCTTTTTCTGCTACACCTTTGTTTTATTTTATTTATCCACCAGATGTCAGATCTATAATGAGATGATAGCATCATTAATGAATCTAATATCAAAATTTATTAAAACTGCTTCATTAGTAAAAAAAGAAAACCCAAGAGCATTACTTTTCTGCTTCCATGAGATACAGTCTTCCCAAATGTATGCCAAAAGGAATATTTACAAGTAATTAATTCTTTATTTAAACTTTCAAAAAAAAAAGCCTAGAAAACTGGCCATCAAAAATGGCAACAATTTGAACATCATATAAATGGGTATTCATTATATTCTTAAATTTTTATCAATCCCAATCACCTTATTTTCAATATCACACTTTAAAGAAAGAAAATTAATTTGTTTTGAATACAAGAGATTAGAAGATAAAAATATTGATTTAGTTGAAGTATTGCTATTATTTGGATTATGACAGATACTAATATAAACATAACATTTTGTCCGTATACCCTCCAACCTTTTTCAAATGTCTGTTGTTCTTATTTAGATGTTTATTATGCAGAATGTTTTATTTGTTGATTATTGTGTTATTTAATTCCTGCAATACCATTTATTACTCATTACTGCTGAACCAGCTTATATAAATTTCACTACCTGATCCAGGGACTGAACTCACAATCACCAAGTAATGGTAATACTTATATCACATTGGACATCAGATGGTGTAATTTGAACATGATATGATAAACTGTCAAACTATATGACATTAGATTTAATGGCTCAAAAATCCCACTGCATGATGGTGGTTAGTAGATATAAGTAAGCATTGGTTAAATTTGGCAGTTAACTGGGGATTGTGTGTTCACTCTCTGGATAAGGTAATGAAATCCAAATATTCTGGTTCAACAGTGATAAGTAAAAAGAAATGCACTACAGGAATGAAATAACACCAAAATTCAACAAATAAAAGGCATCCTTTAATAGAGACAGCCAAATATGAACAACAAAGTTTTACATGATTTGGATAATTTTTCTGTTACACCCAGTATATATACATACATACATACATACATACATACATATATATATATATATATATATATTTTCCTGAAAAATTGTTTTAATGGAAAACTTTTATAAATTTCAACCAACAGTAGCACTGGCTGTTTGTTCAATGAATGTCAAATGTTTCTTTATAAGGAAATACCTAATATTATCATTATCATTACCAAATGGCTAATATTACCATTTCCAGACTCAGATTATTATAAATATGATTATTTGTATCTTATTTGTGAAATTTTAAGTGAACATACAAAAATATTACTTCATGCAAATCAAACAATATATTTTTATTATTTTGAATAAGTTGCTTCAGTTACATATGTAATAACAAGCATCTAAACTGTAAGCAAACTTATCATCCTCCAAACCTAAAGAAATCATTCTCCTAACACTTTTAAATTCTTTAATATCACAGTTGAGTAATGTTGTAGAGTAGTACTCAGCATACTTCCTTCTCTTCCCTACTATTGTGACAATGGACTGCTCCTACTTATAAATATAGCAAGTAGCCACATTAGAGTAGAATTTGAGTAGTATTTGATTTACTCAAGTTTTTCTTATCTGTCTATGAATATTTCATAAATCTCTTCTTTTTTGTTTTCCTATGCCTACACTTTCTATGTTTCTACAAGCATCAAAGCCTAACAATACATAAAAAAAAATTACCCACTAAGTTAATGTTCTCAAGAAAAATATTCTCTAAATTGTTGCCTGAATTATAATGGAATAAAATAAAAAATAAAATTACAACCCTCCAAATCAGAGATAAGGTATTTTTTAAGAAATACCAGGCAGAAATACAGTTGTGGAGGGGGTTATATTTTGGTAAATTGGCTAAGTAATATTTCATTCAAAATCAAAATGGTCGACACAAGTGACACACCAGCTACAGTAGAGAGATTATAAGGAAAACTATCCCCAAAAAGAAAATGTACCAGCTGGCTAGAGGTGAATGCAAGTAAAAAAAAAAATATTCAGGAATATGAACTAAAAGTGGAGATGTTGTAGAGTAGGACTCAGTTTACTCTTCTCTACTACTGTGACAATGGACTATTTTACTTAGAAATAAGGCAAGTAGCCACATTCATGTAGGATTTGAGTAGTTTTTGATTTACTCATCTTATTCTGTTCTATGTATGAATATTTAATGAACCTCTTATTCTTTGTTTTCAATACTCTTTGTTCCTTCAATACTCTCTCTAACAACAACCTTCCTAATTCTTGGTTATTCTTAATGAAGACAAGATTACAACAAGGAAATATTTACTTTATTGTATATCATTTTCAAGCAAAAGTAATGTGCAAGAAAATACTGTCTTCTAAATAAGCTCTACCTTTATCTCTTCAAAGTATTATATTAAAACTGTTTTCTTTAAGAACAAAACTATTTATTTCATCTATGAATTGAACCTGCAATAATATTTTGAAGAAAACTTTTCAATGCAGAACAACTGATGGTAGCATCATTTTGTTAATATGCAGTGCACAAAACAGTGCCCATAAAATTATGCTCAACAACTTGCACAAAAAGAAATGAAACTTGTATAAAATGAGACAGGGGAGGTGGGCTTGATATTGGTTAGAATTTACATAGTAAATAGTGATAACATCATGCTACACCCACCTACCCATTCAGCATCAGTCCACAGAGAAAATCTCCCAGCCTGAATTTCCTGTACTGTTTCCTCTAATGGCAATTACTATTGTCAAGGCAATTTTATCGTTTGATTTCTATTGTTTATGCTTCACATACACATCTATTGATGAATGATGCTTGAAGAGCATTTGGCACAGTTGTTACAATCAGCATCCAATGTGTAATGCTCACTTGTTGAGTGTTGACACTCTTCCATACATTCTGATTTAGTATATTACTAACCCCCAGCAAACTTTCTTAATCATTACCTACAACACTGCAGTAACTAATACTGGTATCACAAAATATTCATTCCATTTCTAACTATTTTTATTTTCAAATTAGATATCTACAGCCTTTGGAAAGTTTCATATGAAATATATATATATATATATATATATATATATATATATATATTTAAGATTTAAGAAACACCAGATATTTTTATATATAGTGATCAATATTAAAAATTGAGCGTTAATAATATTATATGAAAAGATTACTTAACTTTTAAATATCAATTTTATCCCAACTTTGAAGTTTCTTGGTAAAATTTTCAGTTTTCAGGAGTTGTGGTTTTATTTTATTTGCATTTTTTTTCAATTTTTAAAAATTTTTTCCATGTCTTTTTTCAGCCCACTTTTTTTACTCCATTTTGTACACATGCATATTCATTTAATGTTCTTTTAC